CTCTGTGCCCGGGAGTTGCGTGAGCAAGCGAGACCCTGATGGCGAAGGAGAAAGGAGTCTTTAGCGCGGGCTCGTTCAGCGCTTCGCTGCCTTGTCAGCGCCGTGTCTTCATGCCGCGGTTCCATTTAAGACTTTCAGAAGCGTTTTGAACCGCTGCACAAACTCCTGTTGCTGCTTTTACCAGCCAGTTTTCAGAGTCTGATTTGTTCTGGTCGTGTTTGACAGATTGTTTTTTGCCACTTAACGTCAGAATAATGTAATGTATTTGCCTCGGTTCAATGCAGACTGAATTGCAGTCTTGCAAATGTGAGGTTTGGCTTCCCTCTCTTCAACACAGTTATTTGGAGCTTCCATTACAGTCATATGGTAAAGATCAGGTGAAATTTAGGATCGCTAGTACTGTTATGAGAGTTTTAACTTACTGCATCATACTCTCTCAGAAAACCCTAAGGACGGGGAAGAAGTTGTGGATGCCTCCTGGAAGAGTTCAAGGCCAGGTTGGACAGCGCTTTGGGCAACCTGGTCTGGTGGGAGGTGTCCCTGCCCATGGCAGGAGGGTTGGACTGGATGATCTTTAAGATCCTTTCCAACCCAAACCATTTAATGATTCTATAAGAAAGGTTGCTTTACCATTTCTGTGATCTTATGACAAACTGAAGCTGTCAGTAATGTGGTATTACAGTTGTGAACACCTTGCTTAATAATGCGTCGTCTAATGGCAGTCAGTGATTACTGAAAAGGCAGTGAGAGGGAGAAAAAAAAAGTGCTCCTTTTGTTAAGAGAAACGTAAAAATGGGTTTTCTAGGATAAGACTGCCCAGCTGGTAGGGTACTTTTAAGTTTATCAGGCACTGATATTTAGTTAATGAAAAACTGTGGCTCTTTTAAAGCTGACATTTAATGTGCTGATAGTTCCATGGGGTCACATATCTCTACAGATTAATTTTTACAGTGTTATAATAGCATGCAGGATACAAGAATGAAAACTTGAGATCAGATTTGTCTGAAGTGTGTGTGTACACAGTAGCATTTGGTTTTTATTTGAAAATTTAAGGGGTTTTAAATAACTTTAATATAAGTATGGTCTGTACTCTAGGAGCTGGGAAAACAACTCTCCTGAAATACATACTGACGGAACAGCATAATAAAAGAATAGCAGTTATTCTGAATGAGTTTGGAGAAGGTATGTAAGCTTGCAGAAACATTTTTTAACTGTAAAATGACAAATAATTAACATTTCTGGAAATAAAGAACATCATGGTTTTAAATCTATTACTAAAACTATTGACATACCTCAGAATCTTCAGAAGGGGATAAAGTTTTTTTGGCTCATGTTCATAAAATAATGCTGTGCATTATTCTGTTTTGTATATAAATTCAGTCCCTCAGAGTCAAAGTAAATTAATATATCACCCCATTGGAAGTGCTATACCTCCACTTGTCCTACTGAGTTTCAGGCAAATGGAAATTAAAATAATGTGTTGGTAGATAATAGTTTCTTTTATTTCCTTTCCTCTCAGTCACTTACAGATCACAAATTATCCTGGACCAGGAAAACAGGAACATGTGTGCTTGGTGCCTGTGGTTCTTTGAACTCTTCAATTTTCTTCTCAGGATTATTAACTTATGGCTATAATTTCATATCCATACCATAGTCAGCATTGCTTACATTTTGCACTGTGTTGGTGGTGGGTTTTTTGTTTGTTTGTTTTTGTCACAAAGTTGTGTGTAACTTTTCTGGTCATGGAGCCTAAAATAAAACATTCTAATTTCTGAAGAGCATGTCGGAAACATGGTCTCAGAAAAAAGTAATCCAAGACTAAAAGTGTATACCAACTTGAATATTTCATATCTCTTTTGCAGGCACTGTTATGCAAGTCTGTAGATTAAAATTATAGTACTACTTGTATTTCCAGGAAGTGCCTTGGAAAAATCTCTGGCAATCAGTCAAGGAGGAGAACTCTATGAAGAATGGCTGGAGCTCAGAAATGGCTGCCTGTGCTGTTCAGTAAAGTAAGAAAGGACTATTGTACAAGTTACTGCAGTGGGTTTTGGAGCATTTGAGGAAAGGAGAAGCCATTCAGGATTTGATTGCTAAAACTCATAGTAGTATCAATTGTGACTTGTTTTGTCAGATGAAAAAAGAATTGGAATTTGGGAGATAGAAATTTATTTCCTTTTGCAGCCTTACTGAATTTGGACTAGTGTCTTTCAGAAAAGTAATTTAAATACCAACTTAGACATCATTGGGGTGTTTTCAGGTAAGGAGCTCTCCCTCCTCTGTTAGTGTTATATGTTTTTATATAGAAAGCTAAAGATTCAGGAACGCTGGAACTAGGACTCTAGTTTCCTAATTTCCACATTACATACTTACTGTGTTTCTTTCTCTGTATATTGGTAAATATTTGAATATTGTATGCCTCAGAAAGGGTGGAGGGAGAGCCTCTTGGTGAGCTAATGAAACACAGTATTCTAAACTGGTAGCTGATGGTGGCATTAAAAAGCAGGGATGTATTTGTTTCTTAGACACGTTTCTACTGTGTTTGTTTGCATGCTGGTTTTTTTGTGCCAAGTGTGTAGTAAAGGTGATGATCTGTTGGTCCTGAAAACTTGAAAGAACTGATCCTGTGCCTTAAATTGAGATAGTAACTGGAAAACAAAGACCCGACTGCATTGTGTTCTAAGGAATGCTGCCATTGCTGCTGTATTTTATATACATTGGTTTCTTATATAAAACATCATACATTTCTGACTTCATCAGCTGAGATTGAAGTAAATGACACATCTTAATTTTGTTTTGATAGAGAGAACTGTAACACTTATGAAGAAAATTATACCTTGGGGCTAACACAGCTTGAGGGAATAATGCTTAAGAGTTAACGGGATAGCAGTTACTTAGCTGAATCAATATATCTTAGGTCACTGTGTAAAGGGAGGTAGGCTACAGACAGTTCCTGATAAGGCTAAGGATGTCCTGCCTGACACATCTTACGGCTTCTGATAACAAGAAGAACATTACAGCCGGCTTTTGGAGACATGCGCAAGGAACAAAGGTGAAGAGCTTAGTAGGGAAAAGGACTCCCCGAGACCCTGGCCTACAGCCACCAGGAGGCACTGCACAGGCACAACTGGACTTCTCGGAAAAAGACCGCCTTTTCGGGGAAAGGCTATGAATATGCATAGGCATTTTTGCATAATAATGAATATGCAACACTTTACTGTATAAAAGTTAAGACAAGCTGCCACAGAAGGTGCACATGAATTAGGAGGAAAAGATTCCCCTGTGTGCCAAGCACACTGAATAAACATACCTATTTACAACCTTACAGGTTGTGGAGTCTTCTTTCCACGGGTCAGTTCTGTGTAATGTGAAAAGGCAGAAGAACATGATTCAGTTCCCTCGTCTCCTTCCACAGAGCCCCTTTCTTTTTGAAATCTCAGCTGCCAAAGCAAATTGTTACATATTTGCACAAACCTACAGGGTTTGCAGTGTTTGAAAATAAATCTTCATTTAAATCACCTTTATTATGCCTGTTGGGAGTAGGCAAATACTGTTTTCAGACTAAAATGAAACAGAAAACTGCAGTTTGCATAATACTAGAGCAGCAGCATGATCACTGAATTTTCATTGTAGACTGTAACTTCTGACTTAGTCATTTGCTTTGATGGTACTGACTCTGTTCTGCATCAGAAGATACATGTTCATACATGTTTTAGCTTGTTTTCTCTGTTCTCAGGTTTCATTGTTTCTTTTTACAGGGACAATGGTGTGAAGGCTATTGAGAACCTGATGCGAAGGAGAGGAAAATTTGACTATATATTGTTAGAAACAACTGGTTTGGCAGATCCAGGTAGGTAACATTTTGGTTTTCATAACCATGATAATCAGTTCTGTTTTTATGGTGAGCTTATTTGCTCACCAATCGGTTCACTGCGGAAATATATAAAGTGGTGAGTTGTCAGGCACATGCTTTGGTTGCTGTATAGACTGAAACTGAATTGGATAAGGTGCAGAAGCAGAGTTGAAGTGTTGCTTCATTGTGTGTTTTATGTTTTTTAAATTGCTCTAAATTGACTCTAAAGCTTAACAGAAATCAAGTGAAAATATATTTCTATCAAGAGAAGACACAGGGCTTGGAGAAGCACACTGAAACTAGTAGTTTTCAGTACGCTTTTGATGTTCTACATTGTTCCTTCTAAAGAACAAGTTACTAGCATCTGATGTATTGTTACTTGGGTTGTGATAGATAGGCCTTATATTTTGTGAAGTCATAAATTATGCTGTGAAACAGACTCTAATACATTCTTCTGGTATCTACAGAACAATAATAAATCATGTGCACAAGTCAAGGTAGACCACATCCACCGCTCTGCCATCATCCATCCACCTTGTTATATCCTCATAAAAGGCTATGAGGTTGGTCAAGCACGACTTCCCCTTGGTGAAGCCATGTTGACTGCCCCTAATGACCCTCTTATCCTTGATATGCCTTGAGATGGCACCAAGGAGAAGGTGTTCCATCACCTTCCCAGGGATGGAGGTGAGTCATTACATTGTTTGCAAAAAACTCCATCAAGGTTACTCTTTTAGTTCTTGAACACTTGGAAAACAGTTTTTTAATAAAAACATTTAATTTAAACCAGTCCTTCTCTCAGAACACAGGGAGTCACAGGAATGTAGTCAATTTGCTATGTCAAGCACTCAATCAATGCCAGATATTGCTGTTACCTTCCCAAACACTAATAGAACTCCACTGTGAGTGTGCATTGCCTTTATTCATGTAATCAAAAGGGACTTTTTCCACAGGGGCCCCTTTTCCTTTCAATGCACCGATTAGACTGGAGCATTAACCAACCAGAGATGACTTATCAAGACCCGTTATTTTTTAATCACTCTGTTTAACCAGTGTCATGGAATCACACCAAAATGGCTACACGCACACAAACAATGAACTCAAGCTTTAATCTGCAACTGAAATGAAGCAGACAAAACTTCATTCACCAAAACAACATCCCACTGACATTTAACAAAAACAGGTTCGATATGCTGGGTGGGAATATTACCAGACACAGCTGAGTTAAGAATTCTTAAGTTTTGGCCAAACGATCCAAAATGTGCACTCACTCTCTCACCTAGAAAGGGAGGGCTCTAAATCTCGAGAAGTTTTCTTAAGTGGTGTTCCAGCTCAAGAGGAGAGTCCCCGACTGCAGACCCGCTGCTTCGAGGAGGACCGACTCAAATGAGTACTCTGACGGGGCCCCATTTATACCCTGGTTGAATCTGGTCTGTGGTCAGTATGTGGTCGTGTCAGCCCCATATTGGCTGGGGACCCCCACTTTCCCCGC